AAAATGCAAAAGAAAACTGGAAAACGAACCTTCGATAGTCGTCGTCGCCGCTGCCGCCGCCGCCGCTGCTGCCGTTGCTGCTGTCACGCTGCATTGCTGCACCTTGCTGCTTGTACCGCTGCTGCTACTACTGCTGCAGTATAGCAATAACACAATTGTTTATTTAGCAAAATCGGTTCTAATAAATAGCGCGCGGTAAATCAACGTGGTTTTACGAATTCTTCAAACTTTTCGGACAAGGTGCCTGATACAGCAGTGAAGTCCTCGAAATAGATAAATGCATGCAGCACCGTATACGAGAGTTAGGGGAAAAAGCGGGATGAAGAAGGGGGTAAGAAGAGAGAAAGGTATTCTTTTTCCTAACAAATTGCTAGCAATATATGTAAAATACATACATTATGGGTAATAAATGAGTGGATTACGGGAAACAGTGATACATCTTTATTTCGCGGAGGATATAGGCAAACCCAGGACAGACTCCTGAAGAAGGGGGATGGCCTGGAACTGTGCAAAAACTGGGGACAGAACTGTAACACTGCTACTCAGAGTTACTTTAGCTTAGAATTACTTTAGGCTTTAGTTTACTTTCGTTTTAGCTTTAGACCCGGGCTTTTGCAGCACTGGAGAATGTGCGGCTGAGGAGGGGGAGAGGCGAGGTGAGGAGGAAGGCGAAAGACCCTTCGGATCCGCCTACGTATGTATGTATATATATATATATATATATAATTTGACATTATACATTATATACCTGTATATATAAATCAAGTCTCCTCTTCATCTACTAAGCTGGTGTCCCCTGCGAGTCGCATTTTGAAGAACTGCTGAAACTTGACTTGGCTCGGCTAGGAGGTGAGATGAGTTGCAGTGATTGTGGGACAGAGGGGAAGAGGTGAGAGAGTGCGGGATGACTGATTTGGAGGCCTCGGAGGGGGAGGGGGAGAAGGGTCCGTAACAGGGGAAAGGGGACAGGGGTTATCAACTGGAAAAGGTCCGAGGCCTTGCCTTAAGATAATTATTGGAGGCAGACGCAGGGATTAGAGGAGGGGGATTGTAAGGGTTTTTGATGCCAGCAAGAAATCTGATGCTGAGTTAAAGACAGTAAGCTTGTTTGCGACACCTAGAAAATCTCATCTAAACCGAAAAAAACCATGGCAGTTGTGGACGAATACGAGTTTGACAGCTTGCATGAAAAATCAGAAACGAGTGCAAACGACTGCGCAACCGAATCGAGCCGAGCTGATTTTTTTTTTTGTAGTTTCCACGTGACTTGCGACCACTCGGTGGTCGCAGGGTTGGCAAAGATTGTGGTTGATTTTTCACCGGACAAGCGAAGTTTACAACTTGGTGCCACGTACACGCAATCCTCGTCCGCACATGTCATGCAAACCCACACAGTCCAAACGTTCCACGTCATTCGCAGCGCACCTTTGCGTCCCCCGTCGGCGAGCGCGCAGATTTACCGCACACCACACCCCCTCCCCTAGCCCCGCCCCTCCCACTCCCCTCTCCGCAACTGTGAAATAGGCCTTCCACGAAGCGAGCGTCCCGCAATAAACCCTCAGCGTAAGCCTTGTTTGTGTAAACACAACAACAACAAAAGTGCCTTTCTCTCTCTGTGCCCTCCCCTCTTCACGTGATGTCTCGGCACCCATCCGAATTTTACCGCCCCACAGCATCACATGCACATGTACAGATGAAAGAATAACCTCAAAATCTGAGGTATTTTCAAAGGTTCTAAAGTTGTGAGACAGCGAATGCCACTATAATTCAGTTCTCTAGGGATGGGCGGAGCCAGGAGCCGGGGGGAGGGAGACGAAAGGTCTTTTGCCCTCCCCCATCTCCCCAGCGACACAGACATCAGTGCTGCAAAAGCCCGGGTCTAAAGCTAAAACTAAAGTAAACTAAAGCTAAAAGTAACTCCAAACTAAAGTAAGAACAAGACCCCACGGACCGTTTGGGCCCTGTGGGCAGATGGAATTTGGAAATGTAGGGGCTGAATTTGGAAATGTAACTCTAAGTAGCAATGTTACAACTCTATTCCCAGTTTCTGTAATTTTGCAGCGTTACTTGTCGCCCATTGATATGCCCATGAAAGTATAAATTGAGAAAATTCCAGCCCCTCTGCATCTTACGTACGGACACGTGAAAATTTCATGCAGGCACTTTTGTAAATTTAGGGTGGGAGGGGACTCTCCTTGCCACCCCCATCAACCTCCCTCTCACCCTTTCACCCCCTCATAGCTCACTTTCCCCTCCCATGGGAGTCCACCCTGGTTCCACCTATGAATTCACGGTAAATTGATGCTGACGCATGCCAGGGAATCAAACCGGCCATCAGCTTGCTTGTAAGCAATCCTTGAAAGAGGGAGTCATCGACAGTCTTGGCAGTGTGTGGTTGCTTTTGACAGTTGTTTTTACTCAGGCTAATTCTCGAGTGCCTTCGGCTATTTGTCATAGAAAGTAAATGCAAGAGACTTTGATGTTACGATATGTTAGGAGCACAACTTACTCGACAGCGCACCGGCTGCCGATGCGAAGATGCGATTTTTGCACAGTCCCCCAGCAGTTTTTTTTTTTGCTAATGGCACCGTTTTTTCCAGCAGATGCTAATAGTGAAGGGAGCCGAGATAGCCATCACGACTGTTAGAAATTACAATGACCCTCAATCCAGGCTCAATAAAAATCCAACATTCTAGGTGCTTCGATTGGGAAGTCACGTCATATTCCACGTGTTCATACGTGAGGAACAGCGTGGACGCCTTTTTCACGTACGCCTGCTTGAACACGGTCCCGGACCACGCTCAGAGAATTTCAGCACTCCAGCTGTTCTGTTGCGGAGTTACGTCAAATTTTACGTGTTCGTGCGTGAAACGTATGTGGAAACATGAAAAGGACGTCAAAGTCGTTTTTACGTCCACTTTGCCAAACGCCGCGTCGATTATGCTCAGAAAGTTCCAGTCCTCTAGCTGCTTCAACTTTGAAGTTACAAAAGTGCCAGCATGAAATTTTCACGCATCCGTACGTGAGATGCGGAGGGGCTGGAATGCTTAATTTACTTTCAACGGGCGACAAGTAATGCCGCAAAATTACAGCTCTCTGTAACTTCGTGGTAAACTTGAATCTGGAATTGGCACGATGCCATTTTAAACCTTGACCTCTGCGTACGTGAGACCTAGGGCGCATGAAAGCTGACTTTGAAATCTTTGGATTACGCTTGGCCAAGGAACGTTTTTGTGAAGTTTCAGCCTTCTAGCTTGTTCCATTTCCGAAAAGGCTCTCTCACCAAAAAAGCTTTCACGTGCCCATACGTGAGAGCTATGTAGGCGTAAGCAACCATATTGAGGAGAGGGGCCGCACGCATGTGTAGATTAAGTTGTCAAACTTCAGCCTTGTAATTTTTGCAGATCTCGAGATGAAAACTCGGTACAGACGTACACAGCAACATACATACATACATACATACACATACAGACAGCCCTTCGATCATAAGTGTTTTTGCATTGCATGGACGCAAAAAACGCATAAAAACGGTATGCTGGTGGGGCCGTGTGTGTGTATGTGTGTGTACGTGTGTGTGCGTATATGTGTATTTTACGATGTATCAGGGGCATAAAAAAGATACGATAGTGGATTGTGTGCGTGTTTACGTGTATTTTTGGTAAAAACGATGTTTTGTCCATTCCCCAACCTTCGCCATGGAAAAAAAGTCCGTTTTCCCAATCTCGACTTTTTGTCGAGGTTTTTCAGTTCTAGGTATCACATATTACAGTGAATTGGATCCCTTTTCTCACGAAGACAATTCGAAACCGAACACTGGAAAGCTTTTCGAAGATAATGATTTGAAATATCGAGTATAAAAAGGGAAACGATCCAATGATTTGAGGTCCGTGTGTCGTCTCGTTGCCACATCTTTGTCAAGTTCTGCTAGCTGTGCGTCTTTTCATTAGGACGATCTTGCATCGTTGCATACGCCAGTCCAAGTGATTCCTGTGATTCACTGTTTCACTCACTCATCGGTTACATATTTAAATAAACAGCTTGTTCTGATATTAGTCCCATACTGCACCTCTCAGACAAAGTTCCTTCGATTCACCGACATACCTACACATGGCACGAAAACTTATCCTTTAACAATGTATGTTTTGCCAATAAGTATGTATAGGTGTGTGTTTTGCATGTGTGTATGTGCCCATGTCTACCTAAGTGTGTGTGTATGTGCGACTGTGTGCTTGTATGTTTGCATATGTGAATTTTGTGTATGGTTGCATGTGTGCATGAATCTTTATTTGTGAATATATATGTGCGCATGTATGTGTTTGTGTGTGCGTCTTTGTGTTTGTTTGTATGTGCATTTATAAGAGTGCATATGTGTGTGTGTATCGGTGTCTATGCTAGTATATATGCCTGTGTTTGTTGTGTGTTCACGCGTTTGCATACATGAGTGTTTGTATCTATGCGTGTGTATGAGTGCGTGTGTGTGTTTGTGTATGTACATACGTATACATGAGTGTTTGTGTGTATGTATGTATGCGTATCTGTGAATGCATGTTGTATGCGTGCATGCTTGTTTGTTATATGTTGTGCATTCTCGACCTCGTCTCGATTCTCGACTAGAAATTTTCATACTTCCAGGATTTCGTCCCTCAGTTTTGTCGATACCAAGTAGTCTGTCTAAATTACACCGGAATAGTTGCCCGTGCATCTACTGTTTTATTTCATTGATTTCAAATTACGCAGCGAGTAGCAACAGGCATTCTATGCGACAAAGTGCACACGCATTCACTCCAAATTTGCCTTCCCTCGACTAATTAACAAAGCTTTCTATATATGGAAGCCAAAAGCTTTCTATGTAGGGCTTGCTGCTTTCCGGAACTATCTGTTTTCCATTCAACATCCTGTAAAAT